GTTTGTAATGGATGCCAGTTATCAATTATCTCCTGTTAATTTTCCCTCTGAAAGTTCTCCACTGCCTTAACCGGGTATTGAACACACACTCTCATGAGCCGACCAAGCATAGAAATAAATACAATATGGGATCCAGTAATAAGCAGTGCCAGAGAAAAGCGATAATAACAACAAAGTTGCAATATGAGCGCTGGTAAAAAGATACAATGATAACAGCAAAAATTGCACGTTCAAATTAACATATCTTTAGCTTTGTCACACTGCCTTCTGCTCATGCGTGCTTATAGTTGGATCCCGCAAGCGATGTTTGAGATTGATCCCGCCAGTTTTATTGCTGCCTTTACAATGTAAACATGACCGCTTCGCTAGCAGTGCGCATCAAGGAGAAACAAAGAGGAGTTATCCGTTTTCTCTGGTCGGAAAATGTGCCATGAACTGAAATTAACTTGAGGCTTTTAAAACAATATGGCGAGAGTTCACTATCGCATAGAGGTGTGTGTTAGTGGATCGAGTAGTTTAAAAGCGGCTGAACAAGCGTTACGCACGAAGAAGTAACAAAACATCCTTCAACCTCCACCACTGACGAGAAGATTCACCAAGCTCGAGAGATGGTAATGGCGAATCACCGAGTTATCATCTATGAGGTAGCATATTTTCTGCAAATTCGGATCACAGTTATTTGTTCCTCCTGCGTGCACACTGCTAGGGGAGCGGCCATGTTTACACTGTAATAGCAGCAATAATTTTTTTTTTATTACTTACACTCGTATTTTCTACTGAACCAAGGAAAGAAATATTATGGGTTTTCGAATGTTTTCTACGAGAACGATCATTTTTACTTGACTAGCCACTTCAGCCATACAGTCTTCTGACTTTTTGAATTGTCTTCTCTCGTTGCTATTTGACGCAAATTAGGCTATATGTTCCCTGTAAAATATTCATGAAGGTTTTTTGAAGCTTACAAGGTAAACCTCGGAATTATCCCATCAATCTTACCGTATCACTTGAAGTCGACGAAACCTTAATCCCATACGAAGATTGATGATACCTAGATGGCAGTGATATGGGGCGGGTGGAGGCGGAGAATCAGTGATGGTTGGCGGCGGTTGGGGGTGTAGATTTGGCAACAGCACTAAATAGAATTGGCCAGACAATGTCTGATAGATCATTAAAGGTGGGCCATGATTAAGTGATTGATAAAAATGCCATCTTTACGTGTAATTGATCCCTGGATTGATTTGCCCATATTCCAGGCTGACATTTAGCCACTAGCAGAACAGGCGCGCTCTAGTAAGCACAATGGCAGCGTGTTTTCTGGCCGCCAACGAAGAACATGACGGGATGTAACATATGAAGATCATTAGCGTAAAATGTTTAGTCGCCCGAGGAAAAACATTTTCTTCAAAACATTATATTATTATTCTGCTTGTTCATCTGTTAGTTAGTTAGTATGCGCGACACGCCCGAACATTGCCACCGACAAATAATGGACTATTCTATTATGATGGCGGGAAAAGACAGAAGAAACAGGTACATCAAAGATATTGTTTGATTTTAGTGAGAAAAGAGATGCATAATAATAAAAATAGAGAGAAAAGATATAGGAGGCGATAAGACACTCGTGCTTTTAGCGTCTGCTTCAGTCAAATGGAGAAGCTTGTCAGTCTTATTTTTTCATTTGTACCCTCTTACTTCTTTTAAATAATTATATTTATTTATATTTATGATGGCTTGCAATCAATTACAAGGTGTAACGTACGTGTCATCTCTCTCTCTTTACTCAATCTCACTCTCGATATATATTTATATATATATATATATATATATATATATATATATATATATATATGTATATATATATATATATAAAATTGTCATCCAGACACTTTCGCTATATCACAGCTCATCGGTGTGGATAGACGTCCGGTTGTCTAGCTAAGATGGAAACCCGACTGAATATGGCGTCAGTCGGGATTCTATCACTAAGCCTTTGATGAAGGTGAATTTTAAGTGTATTTATTTTTTAGATAAACACACATTGACTGAGAGAAACTTGATTCGATTTACCGAAGAGTCTTGCATTATTAGCTGTAATAGTCACTGTTTACAAACACACACTTCCTCCCCAGAGAGCTCAACCGATATATATATATATATATATATATATATATAT